TGTGGGTGACACCTAGAAGAGCAATCGAGAGCTGGGTGGTGGAAGTGGACCCAATGCTTGTTCAAGGACTTTCTTTTAAATGTGAACTACAAGGTGTTAGGTGACCTGGGCTCAGACACAGACCATGCCTCTAAAGCTGGGTGAAGTTGAGTCAGTCTCTTTGGACAAGGTTGGGTTACTTTAGTTAAGAAATAAGGAGGGAGCAGAGAATAAAGAGTCAGCTACCTTGAAGTCCTCTAATTCTAATAATAAGAGCAAAAGGGATTATCCCAACATTCTGATTTTGTGATTTAGCTCCTCTGTTCTCTCCAGCCCAGGAGCATCTTGAGGGCAGGATTATCTTATTTGTTCTGGAATTCACAAAACCAAGCATGGGGCCTGTCACAGAAGAGGCGCCCTGTAAACATTTATTTATTCATTCAACAAATATCTATTCCCACGTGCCAAGGTTAAAGCATTGAGTAAATGAGATGAGGTCCCTGTCTTTTAAAAGTCTAATGAACTGTGGGGGTAGTAAGCAAACAAGTAAATAGACACCTGAGTGAGGTAATTTCCACCAATGGGCAGTCCCAGAGACACAGTGACAGCGGGTAGTGACTCAGGTGAGAGGCCTCTCCGTGGTGTTCACAGCCGGCTGAGCCTTTGGCAGATGCGGAAGAGCATCGGGACAGAGGGGAGAGTGAAGCAACGGGCTGGTAGGTCCAAAATGCAATAGCAAGGGCACCCACTGGGGGAACAAGGTAGGAGGAGGTTGCAGAACACACCGGGAGCAGCCTTCACAGGGTGTTGTCTGCCTGTACAGGAGTTTGGGCATTATTGTAGCTTGATAGGAAGCTTTTAAGGGATTGTAATCAGGGTCATAGCACGATCCCATTTATTCTTTTGGAAGATCCCTTTGGCTGCTCGTGGAGAACGGATTATGAGGCGAGAGAGAAAGCGGGAGGAGCCATGAGGAGGCTCTGCAGGCGTCTAGGAAGACGGGTGAGGGCCCGAAGTGGAGACACAATTTGGAGAGGGCCCAGGGCGGATTTGTTGCCTCACAGCAGAACCCTCGCCCCGGCTCCAGCACCTCGGACAGCGCCACCCGCTAGCTCTCGGGACCACTCCCGTGTGGATTTTAAAACAAATTAATAAAATTCATTAGTTATAATACCTTTAAATTCACAGAAAAATTGAGTGGCAAGCACAGGGTGTTCCCTTTGAGCCTTATCTTCCTGTGGCATTAAAGCATTTTTATTTTTTAATTATAGAGCCTCTCAACATACAAAAACCAGAAAAACATGTAACAGGCCCGTATGTGTCCACCATGAGTAAAATGTAAGAATTAGCACTTGGCCATACTTGCTTCAAAGTTCTACTTTTTAAAAAGGGAACTCAGTGAAACCCGATAGGTACAGCTGAGCTGAAGCTGGTGTTCACCTACCCCACACGTGTTTTGAGCTGTCATTACCTTGCCGTGCAAATGAAATTCATGTGTTCTACTGTAAGATGTATTTTTCAGGTTTACATAAATTGTATAAAAAAATGACTGAACAATATTTCCTGCCATTTTTTTTCTACTCATGTTAAATCTTGGAAACACCCATACTTATGCATGCTAATCATATACTCGCTTTAACAGTGGTAGATTACCTCATTGTACTCAGGGACGCAGTTGCTCCCCTGATGACTGGCAGTTAGGCTTCTCTCTATTACATAATAAAATGTAATTAATATCCTTGGATGCATGTTCTTTTCATATTAGTCCAGGATATGGTAGAGAACTCTGTTGATGCCTCATCCCGGTGCCTTTTACCTATGGGTAGATCCATCCCCCAGCTGCTGGAGTGTTGAATGCTAAGGACTCATAGCTGCTGCCTTCTTAGGAGATGCCCTCGGCCATGGAGCTATGCCCCCCATCCACGCAGAGCCCAGAGAGTGGCTGGCTAATACGGGTCTACAGAAAATTGGCTGCCTCTACCTAAGGCGGATCATCTCTGGTGTTAATGCTCCCGAGCTCCCTGTGGGATTAGATTGAAGCTAGTCTCCGGCTAAGAACACATCGTTGCTTAGCACCTCCTCCTATCCGGTCTGCATTCCCACTGCTCCCTTTTACCTGAGAGCTGTCCCTCAATAAATCACCTGCTCAAGAATCCCTAAGCTGGATGCTGTGGTGCACATGTGTAATCTCAGCACTTGGGAGGCTGATACAGGAGGATTGTGTAAGGCCAGCCTGGACTATACAGTGAGACTCTGTCTTAAATAAAAACAATCCCCGTCTCAGGTTCCCCTTAAGGAACCTATTTGTGGTGGAATTGTCTGGGTTATAGATTGTTCATCTTAAAATTTACTAAGCATTTCCAATTGCTTTCCAAAGTAGTTGTGCCATCTATATGCCCACTAGCAGTTTATAAATGTTTCTAAACATTGCTATTTCCCCCATACTTTCATCAACACTAGTGTTAAAGACTCATCATGTATTCATATTACACATAGTGATGTAATAAGCTGTCTCATTATTGTGTTAATTTGCATTTCTATATTAGCCAGTTTTCTTTCTTTTTGGAAGGGGGTGCTGGGAATTGAGCTCAGGACCTCGAGCTAGCCAGGCAGGTGTTGTGCCGCTGAGCTATATCCCCAGCCCCTACATTGACCAGTTTTAGAGTGTTAACCAGTTTAAACAGTTTTAAGCATTGTATCTCCTTGTCCACTAGTTGAGAATCATTTTTATACCTTTCTAGGCCATTTAAATTTCTTCCTCTGTTATTTGATCATATCCAATCCATTTTCCCCATTAGTTTGAGGTGTTTTTGGAAAATTGCTTCTTTGGAGTTTTGTGGTCCTGGAGGCTATACTCATACTAGGCAAGCACTCTACACATTTGAGTTCTTAGCTCTTCTCGATAGTCTTTTAAAAAGTTGTTTTGGAAACCAATTCTCTCTTGGATACACAGGTTTCAAAGAGTTTCATACAGTGTATATGGCTTAAAGAAAACCTTTTTGTCATGTAAAGTTTCTTGCTTTTAATGAAATTATTTATCATTGTTTTATTATGTTTTATGTCCTGTTTTCTGCTCTAAGATCAAAAAGTTACTTTACTCTGCTTTTTATTTTTTTATTTTTTATTTTTTATTTTTGTCTTTTTGAGACAGGGTCTTGCTATGCAGCTTAGGCCAGCCTTGAGCACACTTTGTAGCCCAGGCTGATCTCGAACTCACAATGATCCTCCTGCCTCAGCCTCCTGAGTGCTGGGATTACAGGCATGTGTCACCACACCCAGCTACTCTGCTTTTTAAAAAAGTTACTATAGTTTGCTTTTTAAAGTTAGAACTTTAATCATCCTGAAACATATTTTGTGAGTGGTGTGAGCAGAGATCCAATTTTATCCTTTTCCATAGGGAATTTGATTGTCCTAACATCCTCCATTAACCGGACCACACTCACTTTTGTCATGTTTGAGCTCTCACATGTATTTGGATCTGTTCTGGGCATTATTTTTTTTTTTTTATCTGTTGGTCTATTTCTGGGATCTAATTGAACCATCTTAATTATTAGAGCTTCATAATGACGATTGATACCTGCTAGAGTGAGGTTACCTTCCTCTTCTTTTCCAAAATTGTCTTGGCTATTCTGGGTTCTTTATTATTCCATATACATTTTTGGGATGACCTTGTCAAATTGCAGGGAAAAACCTAGACTGAGTTTTAGTGGCGGTAAATCGTGCAGATTAATTGGAGGGAAATCGCCAACTCTGCAGTGGTGCTCCCTCCCATCCACGCACATGGAGTTGCTCCCCTGCGTGAGTTCTTCCCCTCCTTGTGTTATGTGCCTTGCCCAGGGACTGCTCACCAAATGAACCTCCAAACCTGTCTTATCCTTCCTTGCCCAATTAAAATGCTTCCTTCTTCAAGATATTCTCAGTGACGACCCTGGCCATCCAGCCTCTCCAACCTCTCACCGCTCCATGTGCCCCATTCCCTGGACATACAGCATAGTGGATTCAACTGAGGGGTCTTGTTATGCCCTTTGGACTTCCACTTAATCTCTGCATCTCATTGATCTTTGTACTTCCAGGGCACACAGGACACAGTAGGTGTTCAATAGAGTCTGATAATTGGTTTTATGGGAAGAGGAAGGTGTTGTCATAGTGTTTTTTCTCCTAGGTCACAGTGAGGTGGTTTGTGAGGAGGGGGCTAGAACTGAGTTTAGAGTCTAAGGTGAAACATGGCAGACTTGAAGTCAGACAGCTCTAGCTTTACGTGGCGGTGGTGGTGGTTCTGGCACATGGCACACTAGCCTCTTGGAGCATCTTTTTGCCCCACTGAGTTCTCCATTCCCACTCTCCCAATTTGAGGCAGTCCAAGGGTGAAGACTTCCCTCTGCCTTTACCTGCTCACCTCTACAGCCGAGGGGAATCTGCCCCCAAATGTCTGAGTCACTGGCTTCAATGGGCACAGCCGGCTCTGCTCAGCTTCTGTGTCCTGCCCGGCTTCTGATGCCACCACTCCGGCTCCACAGCTATGCCTTCTGCCCCACCGCTGAGGTGGGTCCTCAGCTTCTTGACGTAACTGCGGACCTGCTCGCCTTGTCTTTCCTTCCTGCCCTGTGGTCCTGGGAAGTTGTTCCCATAAATGGTTCCTTCCATCAACAAGTGTCTCCTTCCCCAGCAGGACTCAGGCAAGGGCACTGCCCAGCTGCAAGGACTGTGCTGTGGTGGTGAGTGCCACTTGCGTCTTGAGAGGCAGAACGTATTTGCAGGTGCTCTGAGCAGAGCACGGGCTTCGGCGTCTGGCAAATCGGGGTTCTGATTCATCCCCCAACCCCACGCTTGATTTCAGGCAAACTGATCCAGATGAGATTCGGCCCCCACCCCCATGAGTAAAATGGGTGCACTGTTCCACTTCTTGGGAAGGACAAGGAGCCCAGGAGGAAACAGTGACCGGGATGGTATGGTGTGCACAGGGTTACCCTTCCCCTCCGGCAGGGACGGAAAACATGGGACACAAGCAAAGATGAGGCAGAATTTATTCTCATTGTGGGTAAGTTCAACACTCAGGCTGGGGACCACTGAGAGGCAGACCCCTGGGACCCGAGGGGGACCCACACGTGGAGCAGGGGCCACACTTCAGCAAGTGCCAGGCCCACGTACCCTGTAACAGTGAGGATCCCAAGCCCAGAAACCGGGTGAGTGGGGTGGGGTGGGGAGGAACACAGGGTCCTCCCCCCTCGAGTTCTGACCGTGTTTCCCACTTCCATAGGAAGGAAGAGCAGCTCGGCTATATAGTAATATAATATATAGAGGTGGAGAGAGCTGGCCGCGGCACCTGGACGGGCTGAGACTCCCCAAATTATTGCAGAAGGGAAAGGGAGCTCAGTGCTGGTGTCTCGCGGGGTAACTGTGCTGGCTATGGGGAGGAGCTGGGCAGGGGCTGGAAGCTGGGGGACCCCTCCCTCTGGGTCTGGCAGGGGACACGGGGGGGGGGGTCCCCTTGGGCTCTGTCTGCCAGACTTCCCTGGGATGGGCCTTTCTCACCCTTCGTGCTTTTTATGTGCTTTGAAGACCATTTTTGCATTGTCAAGAGTGAGGAAAAAATATTCTGACATGGTAGAAAAGAGATATTTACATACCCTGGTGGGCCGTAAGGGGGGATCAGTCGGGGGGGGGGTGCTTCCCAGGCCCCTCCCTCCCACCCCAGCTGGCTGCCTGGGGAGGTGAACGGGGAAAACGAGCCGCGGGTTGGGAGGCAGGAGGCTCCAGCTCTGAAACTCGGTTGCTGTGTGACCTTGGATAAGGTGTACCCCTCTCCAGCCCTCAGTCTCCCCGTATGGTACAGAAGGATGGGGCAGGGGTTGGGGTGGGGCTGGGCAGTGAGGTGTTGGCAAAGAGGCTTCCACGGGAGGAGACCTGGGTGCTGGAGGGGGCATCAGAACCAGACGGGAGTCAACAGCCCCTTGGCCCCAGCCAGGCAGCCCAGTCCAGCCGAGGGCGTCTTGAGTGCCCTGCCCTGATGCCTATGAGAAAGGTGGCCAGAGGGACTGGCCAGGAACCCTGTTTTCCTGTGGAGCAGCAGTGGGAGCCAGGTGGAAGCTGCAGGTACCCCCCAGCTGGAGGGAGGCCCCGGACCTGAGATACCGCCGGGGATGGGTTCACCTAGGCGGGGGCCAGGGCGGGCCCAGTGCTGGTGTGGTTCAGAAGCAGCCTCTGGCTCCGACCTCCAGACATGGGGGTTGCGGGTCAGAGCCTCTGCTCAGTGCCCGTGGTGCCGGGACCCGGGCAGTGCCACACTGAGTTCCGTGCGCACATGAGTGAGTTCCTGATTCATGACGCATCGCCACCGTCACACGTGTGTGGCCCGAGCCCCAACAGACAAGCACACACGTCTAACACTTGCACGGCGTGCTGGGACCTGACCGTGGACACACAGGTGAGCACACGTTGCCCGCTGCACCCCCACAGCACACTCATGTACACACACGCACATGCACGCACGAGGCAGGGGCCACATCTCTGTTGGACTCTGCGTGTCGAGGCCCTAGGCTCTGGCAGAGAGGAAGCCCTCTGCCCCAGGAGGCAGCTGTCCTGGCCATGCTGGGCACCAAAGGCCCAGCCCAGGCGCGTGACTCTTGTGACTCCAGGTACTGCAGCAGAGCCTTCGCCTCCCTAGCTCCTGAGAGCGGGACAGAAAGAGCTCTAAGGCTGTTCTGACCGCTGCGCATCTGGTCCTCTGACAGCTGGCATGAGCCTATGCCCCGAGTCAGAGGTGCCGGCGGGGCCCCTGGGTGCTGGTCAGCTGGGCCCTCATGGTCTGGATGCTGCCCAGGATCTTCTTCTGATGGCCCATGAGGGTGATGCCCAGGGCGCGCACGTCCCTGTGGAGGAAGCGAGGCGTTGACCAGGCTGACCCGGGAGGTCTGGGGCCAGGAAGACAGCCCTGTGCCTGTCCCCTAGAAATGCCCTTCTGCAGGCCCTGCCTCTGCCCGGTCCCCACCCCCCGGGCGCCCCCAGCACCCTTCACTCACTGAGCGTCCATGCGTAGCACCATGCCCAGGGAAGAGTAACCGCCGGCGGCGAAGTGGTCTCGGTACCGGCCCATGCGGATGGAGTCCAGCCAGTCCCCCACGGTGAGGCCCCCGCCGCCACCCCCGCCCCCTCGGAGGTCAAAGCAGCTCCTGGCGAAGGCAGGGGGCGGGCACCTGAAGCACAGGGCCTTCTGTTAGTGGCCTGCCAGGGCTGTGGTCTTCCTTGGGGACCCTGACACTGGTGACCCTCAGCTTCCCTCCCAGCTCAGCAGTGGACACAGGGTTCTCAAGGCTGGATCCCAGGGGTCAGGGGATGAGCCCAGGCTGGGTCTGGCTCAGGGGTCAGACCAAGCAGTCCCAGAGATGGGATGAAGTCCAGGCATGATCTGGGCCAATGCTGGGTCAGCCACTGGCCCTTCCCAGGGCCGGGTCGGGGCAAGGTACCTGCCAGCTGTGGCCGTGGCTCTGAGACTCTCCGGGCTGCGAATCAGCGCATCAAGGACGCTGACGATGTGTGAGAAGCGAGGCCGCTGGGCCCGGTCTTTGTGCCAACAGTCGAGCATAAGCTGGTGCAGGGCTCGGGGGCAGCCCATGGGCGCAGGCAGCCGGTACCCCTCCTCCACAGAGCTGATGACCTGGAGCGAGCATGGCACTGGGCTCAGGCTGCGCCTCCCACCAGGGCCCCAGGTGCACTGCCCAGCCCCCGCCCCGCACTCACGTCCCGGTTGGTCATGTTCCAGTAGGGCCTCTCGCCGTAGGCCAGCACCTCCCACATGACCACGCCGAAACTCCACACGTCACTGGCTGAGGAGAAAGTCCGGAAGGCGATGGCCTCTGGAGCCGTCCAGCGGATGGGAATCTTCCCGCCCTGTGACAGACACAGAAGGGCTGAGCAGTTAAATCTGGGCTTCTCCCCTACTCTGAGTCAGAAAGCTGAACTCTGGGGTCCTGTCTGTCAGTCCAGTAGAGGAGACATGGCCCCCACCTCTGGAAACACTGGTCCTGAGGGGAGGGCCCGCCTCACAGAGCCAGCCCCTGTGAAGACAGAAGGAAATGGTGTGCAGAGCGCGTGGCACGCAGTAGATGCTCAATGAATGCCAGTCAATGGGTCAAGGCCTGAACCATGAGGGAGTGCAGAGAATAGGCCTGGCCACTTTTCAACTCCTCCTCTCTCCTCTTGCTTCTCTTTATTTCTTTGGTCCCAACCTCCCTTCTCTGGGGAAACCCGATTTAGAGGCCCAGTGGGAGACAGCTAAGGGAGAAGCTGTGTGAGTCTCCTGCTTAAGGGAGCCCCAAGGTATAGCAAGAGAAGTCCCACTCTCCACAGAGCACATGGGAACACAGCTGGTTTTGAAGACAGATGTGGCATCTGTGTATGATTTGGAGGAATTGACAGCTGGGACCAGCCTTGTGTGTCCCCAGGCAGCTGGTGACCAAGGAAAGGAAGGGAAAGCTGTCCTCATGTCCCAGAGGGGGAGATTCCCAGAGGGAGAGATTCTGAGAGGCAGGACTCACGCCCAGGCTGGAGGGGAGCCTGAAGCCGCTAACCTCAGGTGTGGGGGGATGGCGGTGCCCTGGGAGAGCCATCTTGCCCTGGGGGAGTGTGCAGGCCACGCACCGTGGTGGTGTAGGCAGCGTTGGGGTCATCCTCCAGCACCCGGGAGAGCCCGAAGTCGGACACCTTGCAGACCAGGTTGCCGTCAACCAGGACATTGCGGGCAGCCAGGTCTCGGTGGATGTAGCCCAGGTCTGAGAGGTAGCGCATGCCAGCACCCACTCCTCTGAGCATGCCCACCAGCTGCATGATGGTGAACTGTCCGTCGTGGATCTGCAAAGGGGCACGGCACAGCACGGCATGGGATTGGTGAAGGCCTAGTGAGGTGCCTGGCCCCAGGCCAGGTGTCCTGCCCACACGGGTGATGCTCGAGAGCGGAAGCAGCTCTTTGCAGTGGTGCATAGTACTTCGCTGCTTACAGAAACACTTGCAGTTCAAGGGTCCCCTGGGCACTCTTGGCAGCCCTGTGAGGCAGGTGGGGCAGCCATGACCTCCATTTTGCAGGAAAATGGAGGCCTCATAGCACCCAGCAAACACACAGCAAGGCAGGAGGTGTGAATCTAGCCACCTCTCCCAAGGTGGTGGTGTAGGCAGCACCAGATGCCCACAGACACCCCTCTTGGCCTGGGGGAAGGGGATGGGAGCTCATGGAGCAGCAGGACTTCCATGGTGGGGGCTGGAAGGCGCCTGAGGCTGGCCCTGAAGACCCCTCCTTGTCCCTGTCTCCCCCTGCTCCAGAGGTGATGGGTACAACATCTCCCATCAGCCATCCTGGACTCCCGACTTCCGGTCTGGTCCGTGCAGCAGTGAGGCCTGGACACGCACCCTCAGGAAGGCATCCAGAGAGCCGTTCTCCATGTACTCGGTCACGATCATCGCCAAGCGGCCTGGATGGGAGAGGGAAGATGGTGGCTTTTGGCAGGGGACAGGGCTGCTGATCAGAGGCCCCAGGAACATGCCCCACCCCGGAGCTGGGTTAGCACTGAGGGTCCTGGGGAAGCCTAGGAGTCCCAGCCCAGGAGTCCAAGCAGGGTCATTTGAGCATCTGAGCCAAGGGCGCAAGGGCAGGGAAGAGGGCACAGAGGTGGACTCAGAGCTCTCTGCCCAGGAGAAGCCCTGCAGAGTGAGGCCGCCCTTGTCTGGGACCTACCACGGGTGACAACGCCTTCCAGACGGATGATATTGGGGTGGTCGAACTGGCCCATGATGGATGCCTCACTCAGGAAATCCCGCCGCTGCCTCTCTGTGTAGCCAGCTTTGAGGGCCTTGATGGCCACAGGCACGTCCTGCTGCCCCGGTACCCGCAGTCGCCCATAGCAGACTTCTCCAGACTCCCCTGGAGACCCCAAAAGGGGCAGCTGGGAGAGGGCAGTGGGCCCCTGCTGCTCTCCCCAGCCTCTTACCCTCAGTTTCTCTCTCCTCCTGGGCCCCCCTCACCCCCAGGCTTACCTGAACCGATGATTTTCTCGATGTGGATCCTGGAGGCCTCAATCTCTCTGGTGAAACCACGGCCCGCCCGACCTGGCTCCTCGTAGGTGTGGGGTTCTGCATAGAACTGCGGCTCTGGCAACTTCCCTGGGGGGTGGTGCAGAGGCAGGAAGACAGGTGGGGGTGCTGGGGAGCCGGAGGAGAAGGGCTGTCAGTGGGTCCAGGGGGGATTTCTCTCTCCCAGCATTCCCTGGACCTGGGGTGGGTCTGGGATGGGATGAAGGGTGTCTCTGGGAACCCCTGGATGTGATGGAAAACAGGAGGTGCCCCTTCAATGCATGCCAAGTGAAAATGGGGTCTCTATAGAGCAGCTCTGGGGTCTGGGTGGCTGCGTGTCTGTTGTTTTCTGGGGTCACTTCTAGAGTCCTTGAGAGCTTGCCAAGCTGCTCTGGATAGGGACAGGGCCAGAACCAAGGGTTCTTCCACAGATGCCAACTCACACTGACAGTGGTTTCCTGGAAGACCAGTCAGAAGGATTCAGAGGCTGTATTCTGCCCAGTGAGAATCAGTACTGTGACTGATCCTAGTGGGCACAGAAGTGGGGTGCAGGGATATCCCCATATTTGCCTTGTTTTCTGGGGGTCCCTATAGAATCCTGAAAATCTCCCTGTAGGAGTTCTTGTCCAAGAGTGTAGCCCCGGAAGTCACTGTCAGTGTACACATCCACACTCTTCTCTGGTGAGAGGTCTCCAGCATCCTTGAGGCTGTCTGGGTGTCACCCAGGGGAGCAGACTGGCACCTGGTATCTCTCTCTGGGGCCCTGGTCTTTCCTGTGGGCACCCATCCCCTTCTGACCTGGGCCCCCAGACACCCCTTGCCCCAGGCCTGGGCCCTGCACGCACCCTGCCCACTCTGGTAGTGCATCTTCTCCTCGTCAGAGTCCTGGAAGGCCTTGCTGTAGCCACAGTGCCTGTGGGGACGGTCACAGCAGGGGCAGGTCAGGGCTGCCCTCTTTGATCCCCTCCCCCTGATAGGCCAGCTTCTGCCCCTTGTGTTCAGGGCAGAACCCCCACCCTCCAGACCTCATCCTACCCAGCTGAACTGCACGTGACAGTCACACAGCAGTGTGCAGTCTACGCAACGCCCTCAAGTCCCACTGACCCTCACAGCAAAGCCCATTAGACATGGAACCGCCCCCAATTTCACTCCACTGTGTGGCCCTGGCAAACCCTTCCCCTTCCCTGGCCTTGGTTTCTCCGTCCATTCCATGGGCCTTCTGACCCCTGCTGTCTGAGATCCTCAGCCCCATCCATCACTATCCCATCTCCGCCTTCCTCTGGAACAGAGTGGGAGAGGGGACAGTGGCTGAGAGCATGATCCTGGGTTCATGTCTCAGCTCTGGCGTCTATCCACTGTGTGACTTCTGAAAGTAATTTAACTTCTCTGGTCCTCAATTTACTCCCCTGAAAAATGAAGCCAGACAATCTCCGCCTCCCTGGACTCTTACTGAGATTAAACAAGATAATGTGTTTGTAAGTGAGTGGGGTGGGCATAGGCAGGAGGCACAGCACTTGGGAAGAGCGGATGGAGGCTAGGACCACGCACCTCTTTTTGCAGATGAGCAGGAGAAGAAGTACAACCAGGCCTGTAATGAGCGTCAGGCAGATCCAGACGATGGTCCGGGTGTCATAACGGGGCCCTTCGAGGTCAACAGGATGAGGATGGGGCTGCTCAAGCCCTGGTACCCACAGCCCTCCCAGCCTGCCCGGGGCCCCCGTGGGCAGCCTCTGTGGTTGAGGTCCAGCCCCCACCTACTCTCTTCCAGCTTCCCCCTCCATTCCTAGGGCTGCCTGGCTCCGCAGTGCCAGAGTCCCTGCTCCCAGAGCTATGCAAACTGGGGAGAGTCACTTCACCTCTCTGAGCACAATACAGGTGAGCACAGAACACCTGTCCTGACTGTCGCTCTCACAGTCCCGAGGTGGAGTGGGCTGACAGCTGCACCTGCAAGCCTGACTCACCCTCCCACAGCCCTGCCGGGACAGCCTAGTGGTATGTGCATTTTCAGATGACGAAACCAAGGCTTAGAGAACTCGAGGTACTTCTTCCAGGCCACTCCGTAAGTGGCACAGAAGGGGCAGGATGTCCACGTCCAGTCCAGTCTCAGGGTGGGTGGTGTCAGACCTTTTGAGACACCCAGGGGCCAGGGAAGTGGCAGGTGACTGGAGGCCGCGGTGGGGGAGGGGGCAGCCTCTTGAGCCAGCGCTTCTCAGATCGCAAAGCCTCAGACCCACCCTGAGGCTGTACAAACCCAGTGCCGAGCCCCCACTACCAGGGCTCCTGAGTCAGAGGTGAGAATGAGCATCTCCGATGACGATGCTGCTGGCCCCGGATCACACCTGTGGACTCTTGGGGACTGGCAGTAGGATGATAGAGGAGAACGACCTGGACCTGGGACCCCAGACCTGCCAAGTTCTACAGCCCTGTGACCTTGGACAAACGGCCTTACTGCTTGAACTCTCACCTCCTTCTAAACTGGGGATGCGGGCAGCACTATCTCAGAGTCGCCTCTGGAACGCTTTACAGGGGTGCCCTGCCCCTGGCAAGAACATCACAGGCTGTGCGGCTCACCGATGCTTAGGAAAACCCAGCGGGGGGATGGAGCTGTTGCCTTCTGCGTGGCCTCAGACAAGTACCTATCCTTCTCTAAACCTCGGTTTCCCCCTTGTAAAAGTGCGGACAGCAGACCCCTTGGAGACGGCACTCCTGCGTGGCGCTGCCCCTTCCTCCGCCCCGCCCCTTGCACTCACGGGGTTTCCCGGTCTCCACCTCCATGGCCTGGCTGAAGCGGCCGCAGCCCGCCGAGGTGCGCGCTCGCACCTGGAACACGTAGCGCGTGCCCGGCTTGAGGCCCGACACGGTGGCCCGCGTGGTGACCGCCTTGAGCGTGGAGTAGCTCTGCGTCTCCTTGTCCTGCGGGAGGGGCGTGGTCAGCGAGGCCCCGCCCCGCCTCCCGCCCTCCCCGGCCGCCCGCTACCTTCTCGTAGTACTTGATCTCGTACTCCAGGATGATCCCGTTGGGCTGCTCGGGCTCCTGCCACAGCAGCGACACGCTCGTCTGCCCGGCGCGCTCCTGCCGGATGGCCACCACCTGCGACGGGGCTGGGGAGCCGCGGCCGGTGGGTGGGGGTTTCGCTTCGGCCGGTCCTCCGCGCCCCCCCACTCCGCCCCCCAGGATCCCTCTTGCTAACCACCCAGCCCAGCGCCCCTGTCCACACCACAGCCAGGGACTGGGTCAGTCCCGGGTCTGCACAGCCTGGCTGCGTCTGGGATGCGCCGTGGGCTTAATCTAGTCAGGCCTGGCTGCCCGCCCCGGGCCTGGCTGGAATAGGCACTCTCGCATTTCTCCCACCTGAGCTCAAGGATTCTCCGGGTCACACCAGGTCCCCCAACTCGCCATCACCTATCCTCCACCCGCTCCTGTTTTCTGAAGGGTGGTTGCTGGGAGGTGTTGCATACAGAGTCTGCCAAGGTCAAACTGGAAGAATTGCCCGAGGCTGCAGCCCTGTCCTGCCCTCTCCCTCACACCTCCTCTGTCCCACACTCCCATGTCACCCTGCTCCGCCTGGCCAGTTCCTACCCATCCTGTCTCCCCAGCATGCCTGGGAGCTCCCTGAAGGCAGAGACTGCACACAGTAGGTGCCCAATAAAAGCTGCTGGATGACTGCGACTTGGGAAATTAAGAAGCAACTGCAGAATTGGAGGGGTGTAGTACCCTGGAATCAGCCTGCCTGCGAGTGCGTGTGGGTTCACAACTGGGCTCCCTCTCTCACTAGCAGGGACCCCAGGTAAGTCTCAGGCTGTCTCTGGGCTACACGTGGGCGGATCACTGTTACAGTAAGGACAGAAGAGACTGACCACCACCCCACCCTCAGGAAAAGCAAGGTCAGGGCCGGGAGGGCTCAGCGTTCACGGCTAGTGTGGCTGGAAAGCAGTGAGCCCGGGGAAAAGCGGCAGGGTCAGCTGGAAAGGGCAGGTGGCAAAGTGAATGTGTCCTCAGTCGGAAGCCATTTAAGAGCCCAGGGCCTTGCACATGCTAGGCAAGGGCTCTAGCTGAGCCATATCCCCAGCCCTTTATAAAACACTTAAGACTGGGTCATTAAATTGCCCCTGGGAGCCAGGATGGTCTCCAATTATCCTGCCTCAGCTTCCTGAATAGTTGTGCCTGGCTTCACTTATATTTTTAAAGTTTACTCAAGATGTGGCACACAGACCCATTCATGGGATGAGGCGGAGGGGCTCGTGGATGGTCCAGGCGACACGTGAGGGGGCACAGACAAGCAAGGGCTGAGCGTGGAGTGGAGGTGGTCGCTGTGAAGGAGCCAGTGAGGAGAATGGCTGTGGGGCTTGAGTGGCCCCATGACCAGTGGTGCCCTGTCCTAAGACCAGGCCCCATGGGAGGAGCAAGGTAGGGTGGGGCTTCTGTGTCAGTCATCCGAAGGGAGACAGGAGTGTGCACCTCAGGGCCGGGGATATAGCTCAGTGGCACAAGCACCTGCGTGGCAAGCACAAGATCCTGAGTTCGATTCCTGATACCAAAAAAAAAAAGTATGCACCTGAATCCCCAAGACAGGCCTGCACCGGTGACCGAAGCTGGGGCTGTTAGTACGGAGGTTGGATTCAAAGTGTAGGTCACCTCGCAGAGATAGCTCTGAGCACATGGGAGAGAAAGCAGGGTCCTGGGGACCCCCAGCCCTTGCGGGCTGGCTGAGAAGTAGGGCAGCTGATGGGGACACAAAAGCAAGAGGAAGGAGCACTGCGGGGGGAGAGAGGAGCCCACTGTACATGCCCAGGGTGCTGCGTGTGGGTGAGGAGAGGCGCCTGGCAGGGCTGCTGCCAGAGACCTGAGGGAGGAAGTGGGTGCAGCGGGCACGGCAGCGCCAGGAGGTTCTCAGGGGAGAGGAAGGGTTGGGCCGCAGGAAAGGAGCGAGGTTCAGGGGGACTGTGGTTCTCCTTGTAAGAACCAGCCGGCTTGATGCTAATGCTGCTGGTTCTGCTCTTCCTTTTGCCCCGCCTACCCGCCCCCTCTCTCAGTGGCCCTGTGGACAGGCAGCAGGAGCAGAGCTCTGAGCACCAGGCACGCAGGTCTGTGTCTCACGGTGGTGCTGGAACCTAGCACAGGACCAAACCCCAAGTAGCTGCTCATGGAGGGATCTCCCGGGCTGGTGTTCCTGTTTATACCGAGAATGTCCCCCAGAGCCTCATGTGCTCAGAACTGGGGCTTTGGCAAGATGACTGAGTTATGGGGTCCATGACTGACTTGCTGTTAAGAGGAGGGCCTGGCTGGAGGAGGGTCACTCGGGGTGTGACCTGGAAGGGTGTCTCTCCCTGCCTAGCTCCTCTCTTCTCTCTGCCTCCTGGCTTCCCAGGAGCAGCTTTTCCTCACTGTGCCCCTCTGCCGCACTGTCCTGCTTGGGACCCAGTGGACTATTGGACTAAAAATGTCAGCCACAGTAAACCTCTCCTCCTTAAAGCTGTGGGTGTTGTGTCCCAGTGACAAAGAAAGTGACTAAGACCGTGGGTGAAACTGGGGCGTCGGGAGAGGCAGCCTGGATTCAGAGATGAGGCTGCTTCACTGGGGGAGGAGGAGACCTGGGTTTGCGTGTTCACTGCTACTTTCTATGTGGACAACACCGGGCAGCTTTCTGAGCCTCGGCTTCTCCCTCGATGTCCAAGTGGGAATCTGTAGAGCTGGGAGGAACCTTTGGGGTCCTCGTCACATCAATGGTGGCCGTTCACAGGGAAGCTGCCCTCAGCGGTCTCTTAGATCAAGCTGTCACCTGACAGGACCCACCAGAGTTTGGAAGGAAAGCTTCCAGGGGCTGCATTCTGCCCAGCGACCAGCTAGCAGCAGATAAATGGCTGAGGGCCAAACCAGGGTGACCAAAGCCGTCCCGGGGTGGCCACAGCAGCTGTGCTAGAAAGTGATCATCAAAGTGGTTTTATTTTTTGATGGCATTTCTTGAGCATGGACCATGGGCCAGGTGCTGGGCTAAGTATTTTGAGTCTTCTCTTTTAAGCCTCCCAACAGTACAGAAGGCAGGTACTATTTTTCCCATTGCACTCAGGCAAAAGCGGGGAAAGTTCTGGAAGTCAGGCTTGTGGCGGCTTTGTGAGCTGCCCTGTGCTATCTATTCCTCCCACTCATGGAACACGTTCTTTTTTTTTCTTTCTTTTTTTTTTTTTTTTTTTTTCCGTACTAGGAATTCAACCTAGGACCTTCACACTGAGCCATATCCCTAACCCTTTGTTTGCTTTTCATTGTGAGACAGGGTCTTGCTAAGTACCTAAGCAGCCTGGGCTAGGCTTGAAATTACGGTCTGCCTCAGCCTCCCTCCCAGACTGCTGGGATTACAGGTGTGCACCACCATGTCCGGCTCATGGTTTACTTTTGTAAGGGCCTGAAGTGCTCCTAGCTGTGGGTCCTGGTGGGGAAGGCAGGGCCCGGCGGGGCAGCCACTTGCCCCAGGCCCATAGCAAGACCAAGTATCACCTTGATCCTGGGCCTGGGAGTGGAGGCTGGGGATGGAGCGTCTCCACATACCTGCCTGGTTTGTAGTGATGTTGACCACGGCAGCCTGGCGGGGCTCGGGGCTCAGGTCAGACACACCGTTGACAGCCTCAATCCAGAAGGAGTAGTTGGTGTGGGCCAGCAGGTTGGCGACCAGCAGGCTGGCCTGCACCAGGCTCTTCTGCTGTGGCACAAAGCGGGTGCCACTCCCACATGCCTCACAGCGACTCAGTGTCCACGGGCAGCGGCGGCACACGGCGTTGTAGGTGATGTCACTGCGGCCACCTGGGTCCAGGGGAGGGGCCCACTCCAGGGTCACGGAAGTCCCATTCACACTGGATATCAAGTTCACTGGTGCTGAAGGTGGCCCTGGGGAACAGAGGATGACAGAGGGGTGAAAGGTATTTCTTTGGGCTGGTCCAGTCTCCACACTAGGGAACACTCCTGGTACTCAGACCAGGAGTTCCCCACAGGAAGGGCACCATCATACACAGGGCTCCTTGAAAATAAGGTCACGTCCACTCTGTCCTTAAAGCTCCCTGAGGATAGAGGCTGTGTCTCTGCCATCAGACTGGTATTAGGGTCTGGGCCCCGGAACTGAAGCTTCTGCACCAAGCAGGGCCCATAGCCTCTGCCAGAGCTGGAGGAAGACCCAGTCCAGGGAGCCCAGAGCAGCCTGCTCTCCTGGTTATTTGCCCCGTGTGCATCCCCTCACCTTCTGTGCTGGATTTAATGTAAACCTCTACTGAACACTTGTTGTGCAATAAAGTGGGGCCCAGGAAATCCCCTGTGTGTCCCCTCATGGCTGTGTATGCCAAGCAGCCTCTCCCCAGCCCCCAGCACGAGGCCCTAGTCCGGGCTGCACGATGACTTTGGACAAAGAGAAGCGGCCACCTGGTTGGGCAGGGCATGGGTCCTGGTGGGGCAGAGCTAGGAGGACTTGGGGGTGATGGGGACCCCAGGCCTCAGAATCCTAACTCTCATAGCTCTAGGCAGGAATGTGAGGTCTTCAGCAACTAGAACCGCAGGATCTCAGACTCACGGACTCTTACATTCTGCAGAGAAGAGGAGTTTGCAGTCAGGAAGGTGTGGAATACTAAAAGCCCAGTCTTGCACAGTCTCAGGATTTCTAGGACTGTAAGGCACTGAATTACAGGGTTTGGAAAGAGACCGGAGTCTAGCCAGCTGTGCACAAGTGCCCACCCCTGAGAGCTGGGCTCACCTTGCTTGAGGAGCCCACGCTGTCACCCTATCACGCAGCTGTCTTTTCTGCCTGACAGCTCCCGTGAGGGGACACTGCACAGGTGTGGCCAGCATAGTGGAGGGCAGGAGGGCACATGTGTGTGCCTGGCACACAAGGGTGTGACTACGCCTGTCCCCTCACAGGACGGTGCAGGGGGCCTGAGGCTGGGTGATGCTGGGGGGGGGGCCGAGGCCACAGAGCCAGGACTGGTAAACGCAGCGCTTTTCATGGCCAGGGTGGGCTGTGGGCAGCCACTGTGGGGCAGGGTGAGGATGGAATGGAGGAGCCGTAGCACAGCCCACCAAGACAGCGGCCCTGATGGCATAGGCAGGCAGTCGATGGAATCCGCACGTCCCCGCAGGTGCACAGCACCGGCACCTGCTCTCTAGGCCCACGCTTCCTTGCAAGGCTGGGCGCGCACACGCACTCCTGTACCTGCTGAGCTCACTAGACACGTATCTGAGCGTTGAGCCCCCTCCAGGTACGCTGATGTACATGCATGCCCCCAAGAACCCTTTACATGCACACACTGCACACTCACACTCAGGTATACAAACACTGTGCAGGGGTCTTCACTCAGACACACAGTCACACCACCCCTGTGGCATCCTGGGGCACACACAGAATCTCACACACATACTCCTTGCACGCACTCAGGCACGCACCACACACACAGGCAGCACCCAGCACACAGCAGCTCCAATGGCCCATCTAGGATGATGGTGACGCGGTGCTGCTCTGAGTCCTCTGCACCCATAGGTCAAAACCTGGCTTATTCCCCATCACCAGGATGTTAGGGTCAGAAGATGACTAAGCTAGCTGGGCATGGTGGCGCACACCTGTAATCCCAGCACTCCGGAGGCTGAGGCAGGAGGATTGTCACAAGTTTGAGACCAACCTGAGCTACAAAGTGAGCTCAAGGCCAGCCTGAACTGCATAGCGAGACCCTGTCTCAAACAAACAAACAAACAAACAAAAAAAGCAGAAGATGACCAAGCTGCCCTCTGCTGGGAGGGCATCTTCCCTCTAGACTGGCAAGGAGAAACCAAGGGAGGGAGGGAAAGATCTTCCAAGAAAGACAGCAGGTGACACATGACAAGGGGCTGGGAGTCCAGAGTGGTCAAGGCCACTGTTGAGTCACAGTCCTGTCAACCCCAGGCCAGGCTCTGGCCCTACAGAACCCTGCCTTGCACTATCCACACAGTACTGGGACCTGGTACGGGTGCCGGCCCAGGCCATGGCTCCAGGCTGCTGGGGCCTGTGGTAGTACTCACGGGTGCAGGCTGCAGAAGGCGGGTCCAGGGCTGCACGGTAATAGCTGAGGTCACAGCGGCAGGTCTGGGCAGCAGGGGCTGCAGAGTGGCTGTGCGGGGGGCAGCGGGCACACAGCTGGTCCCCAGGGGCTGATTTGTAGAAGCCCAGCTCGCAGGCTGTGGGGAGAGATGGCAGCTGCGGGTGAGCAGGCCAGACCACCCTGGCAGGCCTTGGGACAGCTCTCCCTGGGACTCCCAGGGAGATAGAGACGCAGATCTTTCTTCAGCATCACCCAAATCTACCCACATTTGCAGATGGAGGGACTGAAGCACAGAGAGGGTCTGTGACGTACACAGAGCTAGCTGCACAGCATGCTGAGAGCAGAGCTGAGTTGGGGCCTTGATACTGAAGTCATAACCCCAAAGTGGGCAGTGAGCTTCTCAGAATTCCCCAGCCCCTCCCACAGTAGGCCTTCCCACCCCAGGTCCAGCCTCAGAGTCTGTCCTTCATGGGACACTGGTTCTTAAGGGTGACATCAGGGAGCTGAGAATCAGAGAAGCCAAAACCCTGGGCAGGACTGTAAAAGCTATGCAGGGAGCGTGACTGGCAAGGAGACATGCGGAAGACCCCTGGTCTGGAGACAGACCCACGCCCTCAGTACAGATTCCCACCCCCGGCGCCAAGTGAGAAGAGCCGACGCCAAGGCCAGGTTCCTCAGGTAAGCCGACCAGGTAGGGAACGCAGGCTTCTCCCCTGCCAGATCCACACCATCGCTGCCACCTCACTGCCACCAGTGACCTCACTCCAGCCACTGTCACCTGCCTCCTCTCACACCTGGGTGACGGCAGCCTCCAGCTCTCCCTACCTCACACCTCCCAGCTCACCAGCAAGATCAGTCATCAGCTCCGCTACTATTAGGAGCACCGCCCAGGACCAGGCTGCCCCGGGTACTGAGTCACAGCCCTGCACGGCAGTCGTGGGGCCTCCATGCCCAGTTAACAAAGCTGTGATGGTGTCCAGCGGGGAGATAGCGGATGCCTGGAGGAGGGAGGCTAAGTTGTAGCCTACAGAGTAAGAACAAGCCAGCCATGCAGAGTGGAGACACCATAAGTTGAGGGAATCTCTAAGACGTGCACCTTGCTCTGTCATTGTCTGCTCAACCCCTCAGGGACTTCCTGCCTAACGAGAAAACCTGGCATCCAAAGCCTTCCCAGCTGGACCAGAACCTACTTGCAGCCTCCTTCACCCTCATCCTTAGCCTTAACTGAGCCACCGGCAGCAGGATGCTCCCTGCCTCAGGACCTTTGCATGTACCATGCCTAGTTCCTGAGATGTCGTTTCACTTTTGTCCACCTGTTGAATTCCTCTTTCAATATTATTTTTAGCTATCCCTTCCCTGCAGCATTCCTGGGCCTCTCCATGACACACACATGCACATACCTACACACCTACACAAACACCCATGCACTGAACATACACACTCTGAAGCCACCATGGCCCTCCCTGTGCTGCAGCCCCTGCTCCATCTGTTACACCACAGCTACACATTCTATCTGCATGTCTCACTCTCCTCCTGGACTGGGAGACCTTGGGGGCAGAACCTTGCTCACCTTCCAGTCCCCAGCACCTGACACAGGGCTGCTCAGAGCAGACGCTGCTTAACATTCTGTTTTCCAAATGAGTGGACCCCACCCCTGTCTTCTTCGTGCACAGAGAGACCCCAGGGCCTCAGGTGGTTCCACCCGGCCAGGCAGCACCCAGCTGCACCCTTGGAACTGAAGTCCTTCACAGCGGGGACAGCAGGAAGCTTACTGGGGTTCTAGTACAAAATCCATCCTCGGTGCTAGAGAGTTTTATCTGAAAACATCACTTCGCAGCATTTCTTCTTCAGATGTCGATTGGATCTTCTTTTTATTGTAATAGCCAAAGCCAGGTTAATCGCTAAAATTCTATAAACTTCAGAGAAAACCTGGACTCAGGAGAAACAGTAACCCCCTACGGGGCTTTGGAGATGGGGGCCGAGGAGCTAGAAGAGGCTAAGCAGCTGCCAGAGTGGGGAAAATGTGCCCTGGTTTTGTGGCACCTCGTCCCACTCCTAGGGAGCCCGACAGGGAAGATGTGCGGATTCGGGCCGGGGCAGTGCCCGGCACCTACTGCTACCGTCGAAGGTAGCTGTCATCGGTGTGACTGCTGGGCAGAAGAAGAAGCTGCTTCCAGGAGCTCTGGCGCCTTGCAGGGTTCCTGGCCTGTGCGGAGCCAGGACACAAAGCCAGGCTGGGACACTGCTGCCACCCCCTGCCACCCACCCACCCACACACACACACACACACACTGGCCTTGCAATGCCCTCCCCTGAGCTTAGAGGTGGCTGTTCCATTCTGTCGCTCACCAGGCGGCGGTTCCCACACGCTCAGCTAATACCCATATGGCTATACCATGTCAAGGCCAGATTAATCCACGCAGTGAAAATAAAATAATCTTTAATAAGAATACTAATCACCAGGCCTGAGGGAGCCCGGACACCTGGTGGCTGGGCTGGGAACTCAAGGCTAAGACAGATGGAGTAGCTCTGGGCTGGGGCCTGGCCCTGCCGCCGACCCACGATGCTTCCGGAGTCTGTGTGGCCCACACTCTGGGCCCTGGGCCAGGAGGGGCTCCTGCCCCTGCCGAGGGCACCTTGCCCAGGCCGCCTGTCAGGCCAGCAGCTGCCCGTGGCCCCAGCCACCTCTCTGCTCTCCCCTGCAAAGAGCTTGAGATTTGACAAATAAGGTGTCCGCCAGTGGACGACCAAAGGAAATTAATTCTAAATCAGATTTTAAACACAGTCAGGAAGGCAAAAGAGTTCTTTGTTCATGCTCCCCCTCTGAAATGAGGCTCTGATATTTATAGAAAGATGATTAGGGCCGCAGAGGGTGATTTATATTCTGCGTCCAGGTGACAGGAAAGATGGCAACAGGGACGTCAGACCTCAGACTGTGCTTCACGTGGGGAGACTGAGAGTCTGTCCCCTCTGGAAGAGCCGGGGACAGGAGGAGAGCAGCTAGCTGTTAGGGGAGGTCACTGGTTCAGGGCCCCGGCAGTGTGAGGAGCTTTCTGGTCGGAGAGCTGGGAGATTTGAGATTCCATCAACCACTCCTCGCTGTACATCCCCAGGCTGGTCACTTTACCTCTCTGGTGCAATCTCAGCAAGGCCTCTGCAGAACCATGCAATGTGAGGGTCTTTCTCTTTGGGGGCGTCACTGTCTCCATCTGTGACACTTTCTGGGGGGCTCTGAGCACAGCTGAGAGAATGGAAACCCAAGGTGGGAGGAAGAAAGGTTGTGACCCTGGCTCTGGCTGCAGGACCCTTCTCTTATTACCAAAAGGAAGGGCCCAGGGGAGGGTGAGCCAGCGCCCCCTCCCAGCCCTTCTTCCCCATGGCCTACCCAGAGAGCAGCGGCAGGAGGTCCTCAGACTGGCTGGAGCCCATGGGCCTCCAGAGGGCTCCTGAAGACCCGCTCCGGGAAGGGTGGAGGGCCTGTCTCAAGTGGCCAGGAAGGTCCCCACACTGTCCCCAGCTCCTGCTCGGGCCTGATCCACCCTGCGCTCAGGCTGTCCATTGGGGAGATGCTGGGGCTTTAAGAAGTGGGGGGAGAGGGACAGGCTGGGGTTGCCAGGCCCAGTTCTGTGTGCAGCGCCTCAGTCTGGGGCTGGGCGGTTCCTTCCAAACGGGGTGACACAGACAGTCACAGAAGTCCAACAGGGCTGGAAAATGTCTCTCCTCGTGTGACCTCCAACTAGCATTCCTTCCTGAGCTGTTCTGCCTGCACCGCACTATGAATTAATATATTTTATAAAACCTGTAATTATCTTGCAACTAGCATAATTATGTTGTATTATGATTTAAATGCAAACTTCAAAATATTCTACCATTCCCTAACCCAGCCTCGGCATTTCTTTATTCTTTTTTATTAATGGGCCGGCACCAGGGAATAAGCCTGGCCTTGGCCTCTCCCAGCCTAGGGATGTTCTGCTGCTCCCGCCTTGGACTTTCCTGCCCCTGGTGTGCTGTGGACCTGAGGCAGGACGCCTTCCCGCTCTGGACCCCTCTCCCACCACGGCAGCCCTTCCTGAGCCCACCCCTGACATCCTGCCCACAGGCTGGTGGGTCTCAGGGCATATGGGACAAAGTGCTAGATTATTTATGCTCCCTCAGAGCGACCTCAGAGCTGGGGGTGGCGCTGACCTTGAGGTAATGAGGCGCTGACCTTGAGCAGGTGTGCACTGGCCCACCTGATGTCACACTTGATGCTGTGCCTGTCACTAACCTGTGAGTGTGACCTGGCAGGAGGACAGTAGGCTTGGAAGAGGGTTTGGTGGTCAGAGGAAGCGGTTCCGGCCTCTGGAGCCCAGTAGCCCGGGAACAGATCCCTATGCTGCTCCTAAGGTGAGGGCCTCACTGGCTCTTGTGTGTACACTGGGGCTACAACACCTTGCTGAGAGGCTGCTGTAAGGACACGAAGCTCTGTGAACTCCCCAGAACCAGGGACTCCCTGCCCAGATCCCTGGTGCCCAGGACACGAATGCTCCAGGGAGTGGATAACTGACCTGATGTATACAAGGAGTCATGAAAGTCCTGCCCATGGCAGACACGTGAAACCTGTCACTAAGGTGCTTTATTATCCCTTCAGAATGAAGGGACATTGAGCCAGTTCTGGCCAGACGCAGGCCGGGATGATGCTGACAGCCTTCACCTGCACAGAGCAAGAGAGCTCTGACTGCAGGTCCCAGCTCCACCTCTCACCTGCAGTGAGACGTAGGCAGGTGCCACTACACCTCATGCTTCAGTTTCCCCACCTGTAAGGTGGAACTGTACTCCCTGCCTTGCTACAATGGTCAATGAACTCGGCGTGAGGCATCTCCCTGTCAGCTGCAAAGGCGACAGGGTGGTCAGTGCCGGCCAGCAGCAAGCCGAGGGGCACAGGATGTCTGTGACCAAGACCACAAGAGGCCAGCTGTCTAGACAGCCGCTGTGGGCAGAACAAGCCCAGAAATGGGCACATGCACAGAAGGCGCTCTGGGGCTTAGAGTACAGGACAGAAGACTTGCAGCAGCTGGGGCCACGAAGAAAGGGTTCTCAAGAAAGCCAGAAGGTCTGCAAATGAGGAAGAGCTGGGGGCAGAGACCTCTGTGCAGGACGACTCCCAGCTGGGCACAGAACTGCCTGTGTGTGGCCCCGTGGTATGAGACTCTACCCTATTCATTCCTAACAGTGCAGAGAGTAGAACAGGGAGGTCGAATTCCCCTTCCCCCACCTGCAGCCCCCAGGCCCTGGGACTCAGTGCCATATGTCACCGAGAGTTTCTAGAGACAGGCTATAGTGTGTCCCTGCTCACCTCTCCCGCCTCACCTCCCCAGCACTTTATGAATTTTGAGACAGGGTGTCACCAACTCACTAAATTGGGCTTCAACTTTTGACCCTCCTGCCTCAGCCTCCTGAAGAACTGGGATTAGAAGCATGCTAATCTCTCTTGATCCCTTCATGGAAACATGTCCTCCCCTGCACCTCTTCTGCCCTGGGAACCAAGGGGCTCCGAAGCCCAGATTTCTCTGTGCCTGGGTGGCTGAGTGGCTGTGTGTCCCGCCCTCAGGGAATGAGGCAGGGAAACGAGGCCGAGCCCTGTACCAGCTGGATACCAGCTGTCTGCCCACAGATCTCCTGCTCTCAGGATGCCCGGTGACCACACACGCACACAGCATGCACACTGCCTGGGGTCTAGGTTCCCCTATGCATGCACCTGCTTCCAGGCTTGACGTGGGTGCCCCCCAGTACATCCATGGGCACACGCTGGTGCAAGCTGTGGGCCCTCAGGTGTCCTCAACAGGACCTGGCAATTTCCCCACAAACACAAGCAGCATGAACTAGGTGGCCGGTGACAGGCCCAACCTACACTGCTCCCCCAGCTGTCCCTGCCTGATACCTTCACAATGCCCCTTACCTGCACACATCCACCAGGGCCCTGGTGCACGTCCCTCCACTCCACTCCCTAGAACTTTAGTGATTTCCAGCCCAGACCCTATATTCAGACTCGTAGGTAGAAATCACAGTTTTGCTGCTTCCTAGCTGTGTGACCTTGGGCAAGTTACTTCGCCTCTCGGGTGCTTCAGTCTCTTTGTCTATAAAACCAGGATAATAACAGTTCCTATTTCCGAGGGGGTTCAATGAGTTAAACCATGCAAAGTGCCTACAACAACGCCTAACCTGAGCTGGCTGCAGTATTGTTTCCTGGCTTAGGCGCACACCCAATCACACAGGTTCCCTCAGCTCTACCCCTTGGCTGGCCCTCTCTCTTCCCCCTGCCCCCAGGCACACAGCCGACCTGGTGCACAAAAGACCTGCCTCCCAGGTCTAGCTGTCCTCTCGGGTGCTGCGACCCCACCCCGCGCCGCAGACCATGGTGTCCCCGCCCCCTCCCCGGAAGTCCCGCCCAGACCGAGCCCACCCTCCGCGGGGCGTGCTCACCCACACAGGCATCCCGCCGCTCCTCGTAGCCGGCGCTGCACACGCACTTGCCAATGGGCACCAGCCACTCGCCCTCGGCGCTGCAGTACATCTTGGGCGTGTCCCGCTCCTCCGAGTGCCGCACGCACTGGCCCCGCACCTCCACCAGCGAGGATGAGTCGGCCCCGGTCACCGCCTCCGAGAAGGCCGCCAGGTTGCGCACCATGGCGGGGCACTTCTTGTAGTAGATGCGGAGAGAGAGGATGGCGAGGCAGGCCCCGATGTCCTGGAAGGCCAGGTAGAAGCCGCGCTTGCTGAGGGGCCCCACGCCACGCACCTCCGTGTTGAGTTTGAGCCGCCGCACGCCCAGGTCAGCGCCGGTGAAGCTCTCGTCAGCCGCGATGGTGTCGATCTTGAGGAACTGGCTTTCCTGCGTGCTGGCACCGAGGTCGCGGTCAGACTCCAGGTAGTAGAGATTGAAAGTCTCCTTGCAGGTGCCCAGCACGCCGGGCATGCTGTTGCAGTCACGCAGCGTGAACTTGATCTCAGCGTAGACCCGCCGAGCGCCGTCTCGGGGCACCCAGCTGGTGCGCAGCCAGTTGTTCTGGTTGGGGCTCATGACGTTGCACACCTGGTACGTGTGGATGGGATGGAAGGACTCGTCCACCTCGTTGATGGAGTCCCACTGCGGGCAAAGAGCACAGCCCCCTGAGGGAGAGGGCCTGCCCTCCTGCCAGCCCCCACATCACAGGACACACATGCTGTGCAGGGAGCCTGCAGGGTGAGTGGGGACAGTCACAGCTGCCAGGTCTCACAGAGCACCTGTGACTTAGGGACTGGGTACAGGTGAGGAAACAGGTTCAGACTCATTGCTAGGGAGAAACAGAGCTGGCCCTGGCACTCCTCCGGCCTGCCTGATGCCAAAGCCTGACCTGTGTCTCTGAGTGGCCTTGTCCATCACTCCTAGAGGAGGGGATGTGCTTAAGAAAGCTGGCAAGCTGCTTCCATTATCAGCTGCCAGCCGGATCTTGTAACGTGTGAACCTGACGGCGTGCAGTGCCCTGCATCCTCCTCCGATCCCTCCTATATTACTGCTTGCTGAGTGACAGCCTGACCAAGGACTCGCTCTGCTCTGCTGTTCTTGCTGGCCCTGCCCAAGGCTGGGGACTCCCGGGCTGGCTTGGGTCCAGTCAATGAGTCCCAGGAGGCAGGGGAGGCGGGTGTGATTGCCTCTGTACTGGTTGCTGGCCGAGCACGAGTAATTCAGGAAGAGACCAGGCACTCTCAGCAGAACAGAAAGGCACCCCATGCAACGGGAGAAGATATTTGCAAATCATTTATCTGATAAGGGATTAATATCCAAAGAAAAACTGAAAAACTCCTTCAACTCAACCACAGAAAACAAACAACCCAATTAAAAAATGAGCAAAGGACCTGAACAGACATTTTTTCCAAAGAAGATATACAGATGGCCCAATCACACGTGGAAAGATGCTAAGCGCCACAAATCGCTGGGGAAATACAAATCAAAGCCACGACGAGGTACCACTTCATGCCCAGTGGGATGGCTATTATACTAAAAGGAGAAAAAACAGAAAACAACAAGTGTCGCTGAGAATGCGAGGAAAGCAGAGCCCTCGCGCCGTGCCTCTGTGCAGCCTCGGTGGAAAACAGTATGGCAGCTCCTCCAAAAGAACTAAAACGAGCATTGCAAGAGGATCCAGCAGTCCTGAGTCTACACCCCAGAGGACTGAAAGCGGGGCCTTGAAGAAGTGTTTGCAAACCCATGTTTGCCGCAGCATTATTCACTGTCGCTAAAAGGGGCAGCTAGGAGTGTAGCTCAGTGACTCAGCCCTTGCTCAGCATGTGTAAAACCCTGGGTTTGATCCCCAGAACTGCAAAAAATTAAGTTTAAAAAAAAAAACGTTAAAAAGGGAGCACGTGGAAGCAACCCAAGCGACGACCAACAGATGAATGGATAAGTAAAATGCGGTATTTACATACAACTGGATGTCATTAGGCCTTAGAGAGAAAGGAAATTCTGATACATACTACAGCTCGGATCAGACCTGAAGACATTATGCTAAATGAAATAAGCCAGAAACAAAAGGACAAACGTTGTGTAATTTCACTTATATAAGTTACCTAGGTTAGTCAGATTCGCAGAGATCGAAAATAAAATGGTGGTTGCCGGGGCTGCGGGGAGGGGGAGGGAGTTACTGTTTAACGGCACAGAATTTCCATGTTAGCAGACAGGAAGAGTTCTGGAGATGGGTGGTGGCCACGGTGAATGTATTTCATGCCGCTGAAGGGTGTACTTAAAAATGGTGGAGACGAGCTTGGCGTGGTGGCACACACCTGTAATCCCAGCACTTTGGGACACTAAGGCAGGAGGATCACAAGCTTCCGCCCAGCCTGGGTAACTGAACAACAAAAAATAAAATGCCAGAAATACCTCCTGCAATCAGGAGGCTCCAAGTCCACCAGGCAAAGTGGTGTGTGTTGTGGGGTCGGGGGAATCTCACTGTATCTCATTGTGCAAGGTACCTGGTTGTGGGCACCTGCATGTTCCACCTGCTGGGCTGCCCTGGGTGGGGAGGAAAGAGCCCATCTCGGCTGCCCTGCTGGTAGGAGCAGACACTGGGCTGAGTCCAGAGGTCCCCAAGCGGAGCTGAGGGCAGATGCTGGAGTCAGCTATGCCACACACACCACCGCTTGACCTTCTCTATTGGGCCCCCGTGTGCAGCTGCCCTTGAACTAAAGATTCTATTGCTTAAGTGGGTTGGAGTGGGGGCTGGAAGACCACCCCTCTTGGTGCTTTGAGGCTCTGTGCAGTTCTGAGCCTGTTCCCCAAGTGCTAGAGTGGGAGCCATGAGTGGGGCACCTTGAGTCTTTGCCTGCCTGTCACACTGTCACAAGTCCCTCCGTCTGTCCTCATGAGGTCTCTACTCTCGGGATCCATCTCTGCAAAGAGGGGCCCCGCCTCTGCAAGACTTGAGATGATGCAGGGAGGAGATGCCTGCAAAGTGCTGAGCTCGGACCTGGCACAGGAAGGCATTTCTTGGTCAGGGGACAAATATGCTCCTGAACTGGCAGTGACTCCCAGGCCAGCCGCCTGCCTCCAGGGGTGCTGGGGGAGAGGTCCTCGTCCAAACAGGCACTCAGAACACCTCCCTCGCCTGCACAAGGCTGTGCTTCCCGTCCTCCTCCCACAAAGGAGCGCTGCCCCACACCCTACACTGCAGCCAGAGCCTCCGGGTAGCAGTGCGCCACATCTGGGGTTAAAGTCATTGTCACAATTAATGGAACACCAAAGAGCCTGCCAGCTGCTCCCTGTCTGTTTCCTGCCAGGGCCCTGGATAAATTAATCAGCTCAATCTGAGTCCGCTCCAGCCTCTCCACGAGTGCCAATGGCCTGGCCCAGCCTGCCAGCTCTGGGAACTGCTGTGGATGCCTGGAGTGGCACAGATTCCCAGAGGCCAAGGGCAGAAGTGCCCTGCTGACCACCTGTGGTAGCCTAATCCATCCAGGATGCCACTCCCACCCCTACTGCCCCTTGAGAGCCAGAAGCTGACTTGAGACACTGTTCCCCCAACTTTGTCTTCCTGGAACAGGATTTGGCAAGCTAGCTGTGTGACTTTGAGTAGGTGACATCCCCTCTCTGAGCTTGGGCTCCTCATCTGTGAAATGGGGTGGCTAATGCCTGCTCCTTCTGTCTGTACCAGGAGGTAGTGAGGATCAGGTACTACCATGCCCCTCCCCTCAGTAGCTGCTAATTTGCCAGGCAAGGTGCAGACTACCTGGTGGGTGGAAGTTCCAGGAACAGGGAGGGAAGCAGTGTGGCTAAGCACATGGATTCTGGCCCCAGCCTCCCCTGATGCCAGCATGGCTTAACCTTGCAGGGACCCAGACTTTTATTGGTAAAGTGTCTTTTTCGGGTATCTCCCCACTAGTGACTGCTGCAGGTTCTATGATGGTATAAAAGGGGGTTGAGGCAAGGTCAGTAGCCAGCCTGAATCGCACTAGCATCAGCAGGCAGAGCTCTGGCCATCGGAGCCCAGCACCCTGCTCTTTGGGTTGGGCATTGTCTGATGCTAGTGGCAGCCCTGGATGACCTCTGAACCCAGACTGCTGAGCTGAGTCGAGTCAGAGGGGCACACAGAACCTCCAGGGCCAAAGACTTTTCCAGGCTGGGCAGGAGAATCCCCTGGAAAGCACATTAAACACAGGACTCCCTGGGCCCTCCCTGACCTCGTGGGCAGGGACGCCTGCACGTTTCTCCTGCAAGCCTGGCTTGGGGACCAGGCCTTGAACTGCAGCCTCCTTTCCTCCATGAGCAACACTGGTCCCCACAGTGACTGAGCCTTGGCTCAGCGGACCATGAAGGACTGCCCCCCACTTCAGTGAGGCCACAGACTAGGCCTTGCCACGTGCACTTACAGTGTGGAGAAGGAACCCAGGGAAGGCTGGGGCCCAGCGCAACATCACCGGAGCCTGCCAGTGATGGGCAGGTTTTCTCACTGCCCTGAGCCTCAGCATCCACCTCTGTGAAATGGGCCCTGAATATCTGGAAGGCTTGGTTATGGGGTTACATGTGGCATCCTGACTTGTCAAGAGCTACGTGAACTTGTTATTCTTTGTTCTAAATTCTAAATAAAATGAGAGGATGCTGTACCATGGCTTGGTGTTCACAAACAAAATGTGCTTCAGTTATCCCAGTATGATGTCCAAAACACAAGTCCTGCAGGGTTCCCATCCACTTGACACCCCAGCTCCTTGTTACCCTAAGGCCAAATACTAAGCGCTGTGATAGAGACCCCAGAGCCAGTCTAGGGCCAGCATGCCTCTCGCTAGCCACTGGGACTATAGAAATGCCAACTCAGCCAGCAGTCGGGCAGCGGGGGCCGACCTGAGCTGGGTTGGCCCCCGTCACAGGCCACGTTGGCTTCCATCACCAAAGCCTGCCTTCTTCTCCCTCTAGGGACAGCCACACGGAGATGAGTTTCACAGAGGAGGAGACGCCCAGCCCCAGGCCCAGCCTCTGTCCTCAGGCAGGACTGGCCCACACAGGCTGCCCCTCCGATGGTGAGAGGAGGGTACCTGCACAGTCAGCACCCACTGGGCCCTGCCAGCTCCCCAGAGCCCTAAGCACAGAGGGTGGTGATGGGGGCTCAGCTCACTGCTGTCTGCTAAGGAGACCTCAAGAGAAAGGAGAGCAGGGCTCTGTCCTGACCTCCAGCCCAGCTGAACATATCCTCAAGTCAAGAAAGAGACCCTTCATAGGCATAAGCCTTGGCACTGTTATCGTTACTGCTGCTAGCATTACTGTCCCTCTGTCCTCAAGCCATGGAAGCTGAAAATGTCTGTGAAAGAAGTCAGTGTGCTCTACACGCTCACATCTGTGCTGGGGACGGGGATGTGTGTGCGCGTTTCTGAGCACGCTGGTGGGAGGACACGTTCGTGACATGATAACCTTAACACACACTAACCATACCAGTGATGAAGCCTCTGCCTAGCGAGGGTTCGCTGTGTGCAAGCACCGTGCTGAGACGGGTGAGATCCCATCACTACCACCCTCCAGCGCCCCAGGCGGTCCTCACATGCCTTTCCTTTCCATAGATGGGATGGGAGGGGAAGAAGTGACCGGGCCCCTGGTGCATCTCACCGGGCTCTGCTACTGGAAAGGGGCCATGGTATTGGGAAAGAGAAGCAGAGGGCATGGGGTATGCAGCCTCCTCCCTGGAGCCCTCTCCCCCGAAGGTGGGAGGGGCGTCTCAGTGAGCACGGGAGCCACAGGGACTGGCGGCCTGGACCAGACGGGACCAGGCAGCCTGGCCGTGGCGGGGGCTCTCGTGTTCCCCTGTGGTCCTGACAGTGAGAGAAATATTCAGGCCTTGAGTGGCCCAAGCAGCTTCTGGGGAGGGCATGGCACCTAGAAGGGAGACTACACCTGACCAGGGCCCTGCTGACCCCATTTCCCTGTCCCTGGTGACCCTGGGCCTGGTCTTGGCGGGTTATGACCCTGCAAGCCCAGGCCACAGACGTGAGGATCCTGCATCTCAGGTCTCAGATATGAATCGGGACCCTAAAGCCAGAGATGGGTTTGTAATCCCAAGGATCATTGTCTACTAAACTGTTAAAAAAGCAGCTGCTCTGTCCCCAGCTGCTGTGCATCCTTGGGTCAATTCCTTCACTTCTCTGGGCCTCTGCTTTCTTTGGATCTCCCTGACGCTAAAACTCTGCAGTGCAGCCTCTCCCTGCTCACAGAGGCGCGACACTGTCCCCTCACTCACCCCATGAGCCGGATACGTGAGCCAGCCCCAGTCTCCATGGATGGTCGATGTGTCCAACAAGTTCACTGTAAAAGAGGAGACAGGAGGGCATCAGGCCCTGTGACCCTCTTCCCAGCCCGCAGGAACAGCCCAGGCCACCACGTGGGCCTGTGCCCCGCCCCCAACACAGCAGTTCACCAGCTCTGCTTCCCTGAGAGGGACAGACGCACTTGGCCCCACCTCCGACACCCACCCCGATAAAGCTGCCCAGAGCCAGGCTTCTGGACTGGGGTGCAGAGCCCTGGCTCTGCCACGTCGGAGCTGTGCGGTGTGGGGCAAGCCCCTTCACATCCCAAGCTTCTGTTTGCTCCTGAGGGTGGTCCCTGTCTCCTGGGGCTGAGGATGAGCTGACCCTTGTCTCTTGAAAGTGGCCAAATGGCATTCCAGAGCTATGCTCTAGAGTCCTCTGTGTCCCCACAGTGGGGCCCTGCACCTACTGGGCACAGCAACGTGGAGGGATTTAGAAGAGCCAGAGCTGTCTCTAGGGCACCTACTGCACGCTGGGCTCTGCAATGGGAGCTCTGGATGCCCGTCTGTGACCCTCACAATGCCAGAAGGGGTCGCTATCATTTCTATTGCATGGGTGAAAGAGCTGAGCTGGAGAAGTGCAGGAAGTTGCCTAGAAGCCCACAGGCGCAGGGCTGGTGCTCCAAGAAGCAGCACCTGTGGGGAGTTTGCTGGTCCAAAGGGTGTGGTCTATTCCAAGCGAGGACCTACAGCCAGGGACCCTGTAGTTTCAACACTGAAGCAGAGAAAAAAGCTTGCCTTTGAAGTGAGGCACTCTTGAGCTCTTGTCTCAACACAGCCACTCATTAGCAAGTGACCCTCAGTTTCCTCACCTGTAAAGTGGGTTAGTAATACCTAAGGGTTTAGAAGAAGATTAAGAGGCCATCTATAAAGTACACACCAGTGCCTGCTCTAAAGCTGGTCCTCATCCATGCTAGTTTCCTTTACCTCCCACCTTTCTGGTCTCTCCATGTCCCTTGTGCCCACCTGCTCACTTATGCAGATAAAGTGAGAAAACAGGGCCCCAAGTGTCAGCTCTGTCTCTGCCGCTCTGCCTTTGGATAAGACCCTTTACCTCTCTCGGGCCCTGCTTCCTTTCAATCTATCTGCTGATGACTGTACGACAGGGCTTTTAACTCCAGCCCTACAGCTTTCCAGCTTTCTCTCTCTTCCATGAATCTGCCCTGCAAGCAACAACCCTGGGGCTTCTAAGCACCCCAGTCGGCAGTGTGGGCAGGTCACAGACACTTAGCGCTGGGGCCCTCTTGGAACTTTCCCACAGGGAGGCCGGGTGTCCTGCCTGAGACTTATGTAACTCAGAGCCTGCCCCCAAAGATGGAGACAAGTGTCCTCAGAAACATCTGGGGTGGGGACGCTCTTATTTGCTGATTTTCTCCTTCCTTCCTCCCACCCTCCCAACCCATTGTCAGAGCCCCTGGGTGCCGGCTGGAGAGGGGTTGGTGGAACCAAGGAGGGGGCTCTGTGCTCCTCCCCGGTTCCCAGGGGCCAGGTGGGATCAGAGGATAGAGTGAATGTCCACTGGGGATGCCCCCTCCTTGAGCCAACCCCACGCCAGGGCACAGGCAGAGAGAGAAGAAGGCTTCCCACCTCTCTCCCTCCCTGGCAGGCACTGTTGAGAAATCTGGGTCAGGCAGCTCTTTCCTCCTGCTGTTGGGGGAGGGGGAGGGGGCCGCACTGCAGCTTCCCCCAGACCAGCAGGCCCTGTCTGGAGAGTAGGTGGGCAATGGGCACCATGGGCTCCCCCAGCCCAGGCGCATCCCTGATGTGGGTCTCAGGGCTGGAGGCTCCTTCTCCGAGCTTGGAACAGACCCAGCTCAGACCTGCCCTACCAGGGAGCAGCCCCAGGTAACACCCATCATTTAGGATTCAACCCTCGAAAACCTCAACTCCGGGGCCACCGGCCCGGCCCTCTCCTCCCGTGGGAAGCCCCGCCACATCTGTGGCTGGCTCTCCATCAGCCAGCCAAGGGGTTCTGATGATCCAGAGATAAGTCAAACGTCAATTCCACTGGCATGGGGAAGAACTATAGGATCCTGGGGCTGCTCGCTCCAATTTCTCCAAGACCCTTCGCTGTCCTTTCCCTCCTCCCCCTTTGACCCTTCCTGGCCCCTTCCTCAAGGGGAATGAGGGGTGTCTCTCCAGGGAAGCCCTGGGCCGCCAGGAGGTTTACAGGGCAGGATGGCGTTCAGCTTGAGGACTGCTTGGCCTGGGCCCGGGTCCCCTTGGGAATTCAGACCTTCTGGTCACCACAGCCAGCTGCTCTCCTGCCTTTTGTTAATTCCCCTCTCTGGACTCCCCACCCCACACACATTTGCAAAATGGGAAGACTGGATTCCATGATCTCTTGGGGCCCTTCAATGAAACACATCACTGAACCCCACTGCGCCTCAGTTTCCCCAGCTGAAAGATGCCCCCAGGCGTGTGTCCTAGGCCTGCCTGCCTGGGCCATGCTGGGGGGACCAAACGGGTCCCCCTCCTGCTCTGAGCAGCACAGATAATTCCTAAGCCGTCCCTGTTTGACTGTGGAAGGCATTATGCGATTTCTTTCTTTCTCCGCCGCCGTCACCTTCTCCCATTCCATTTCGCTGAGACTAATACTTAAATTGATTTACATTCCCCGAGGACACAGCGCAAGATGGTGAGGCTGGAGAATTCGGGGTGGCCAGGGGATGTCATCTAGTATGCCAGTGCCTCGGAGATCGCCCCGAATTAGAGGACAGGGCACCCTAGAAAGCAGTAAGGGTCTGTGAGCCTGACGGGGCTCAGGGCATCTCTGGAGGTGCAGGCCCTTTCCCAGCCCATGGTGATCCCGGAAGGGCCACTGTGAGCGACCTGGCATTGGGGGACTTGGGCAAGCTGACCCCTCTGCTGGACTCCAGCTGAGATCATCCTCCTCCCTGATTTCCAACGGTCTCCCTAGCAGCTCTGCTTCTGCACCAGTCCAGCGACAATGCCAGGAGGGACCCCTGGATGTGCCACATGGAACCTGTGCATGGGCTCTGACCCTCGGGCAGGGTCTCCCCTCTCCCCAGACAGACTTCCTTCCTGCCTCTTGCCAGACCTTGCCTCTTCGCCAACTGTGGCTCATCTCCTGGACACACCCCCACCAGGTCTGTGCTCTGTCCTTGGCACAGGAACCTGGGAAAAGTCGCCTCCCCAGAGGGTCTGGGACTCGAGGCTGGAATTCTGGGAAGGTACTGGCTCCTTCCCAAAGAGAAGCATTGAGGCAAAGAATTGGGGTGTACTACCGGACTCCCAGAGCCTTGCTGTGGGCCTCAGAATTCTGCTGGACCAAAAACTGACTGCTCTCCCCACCCAATTTTTCATGTCACAGTGCCAAGGGCTCTGAGGCCCTTTGTGCCCCAATCCTGCCCTCACCCAGGTCTCTCCTGGTACTCAAGGAACCGGGCCTCACCACTACCCACCCCACCAGCCCTGCCCACCTTCCAGCTCACCTCTCAGCCACTCTGCAACAGCCCCCAATCCCTGCTGGCCCATTTCACCGAGAACTATGATGATTTTACCCATTTCCACCGGTGTGCGTGTGCAACTGCATGCATGCAAGTTGCCAGGTCTCCTGATATACGTGCCGTGACACATCTATGCATACACAGACATCATGTGCCTATCTGCATGGTCACGCATCTGAGCATGTATGCACGTGTGAATCTGTGCACATGTGCACTGGCTGCTCTGCTGTGCGTATGTGTGGAGGTGTGATGGGGGACGCAGCACAAACAAGTCTCCACCAGCCCTGGTCTACATGTGTGAACCCCGACAAGCCTGTGTGTGCCTGCATGTGCCTGTGGGTTGGGCGGGACCTCCGAGGGCTATGTGTGTGTGAAGGAGGATCTACGGTCTGATCAGGAAGAGGGGCACAGGTTGGGTGCTCCCGCTACCGGTGAGAACCCGGTTCCGGCTCGGAGAGCAGCCCCAGCCTCCTGCACAGAGCACCAAGGCCAGCTTCCTGGGCAATGCTGTGGCAAGGCCAGCAGCTAGACGTGGGGAGCAGGACCGGTGGCATCCTGGGCTGGACCTGGGGTGTGTCGTGGGGCTCTGGGGTGGTGGTGGGAAGCCTGGGTGCTCCCTCTCTGCTCTCCTTGTCCCTCCTCCCCACCAGAAGTCACCTCCGAGACACTTTTGGTCCTAAAATGCAGTCTCCCTTACTCCCTCCCGGAATCCTCACCACCTCCCCCAGGCCCTGAGTGACTGGGCCACCCCGGCTTTGACCCAGACAAGACACTGCTCTTGGGGCGGCCTGTCTCAGTCCCCCTGCAGCGCAGCCCTCTCCTCTCTCCCTGCCTCTGCCTCCGAGGATGTGGGGGCGGCTCTGTGTGTCCTGTCCTCTCCCTTCTCCCAGCTTCTGGCCCACCGGGCTCATCCACCCGTCTCTCAAGCCCCCCATCCTCAGCCCCCTTACTCCTGTGTCCCCCAAAGCCATCCTGTTCTCTGGTTCTCCCATCGCGGTTCTGGGTCCTCGCCCCTCCATTCCATCTCCAACCCCCCTCCCCCATTCTTGTGTCCCTCTGTCCCTTAGCGCCTGCCACTCTGTTCTGTCCTCTGCCCACTTCCCTGTCCCCTTCCCTCTCTCTATGTCCCCTCTCCCCTCCATATCGTTTGCCTTCTTCCAGTCCTGCCCTCCGGTCCCCCCATGTTGGCACCTGGGCGTTCTGTCTCCAGCTCTGCATCCCTCGGTCCCGTCCCCTGTCCTATCTCTCTGTGCCCCAGTCCCCTGTGCCTCATTCCTCACCCCAAGCCCGCGGGTCCCCATGCACACCGCTCTATCCCTTAACCCCACAGCCTGCCAGGCGCCACCTCTGCCCCCCAGGTCGAGGGCTCGGGTGCCCACTCGGGAGATCGGGGTCGAGGCTAAGGAAGTTGAGCCGCAGGCAGCGCGCGCCGCGCCCCCCGGCCACGCC